TCTTTTAAGAACAAAAATAGTTTGGCTTGTGATATTTTCACCCACCCCAAAACTATAACAATATAAATCTAGATATTTGTGTGATGTTTTAAAACATGCATGGGTGATTTTATTTAATTTTTTTGGATTGGTGTGATCGTTTAACATTAAACCCTGCAGCTCTAAATATTTGACAGGTTCCAACTGACAGGTTTCACTGCAATTCTAGAAAGCCTGCACACAGCCACGTCATAAACGTGCAACCTAAGCATCTAAAGGTTAAAGAAGATGATTTGTGGGCAGGAAATGCATTCAGAATGTTCCTGTTTCTTTCTAAACCACTACTTGTTTTAGTCACTCATTACATGTAGTACCATGTCACTGGCATAATGTACTAAACTTTATTTATTTAAAAGATTAAGTATTTGGAATTGCAGCCAGAGTGACCACTTCTGGTTGCTAAACCACAACTCTTTAAAGCCTTCTGACAGTACTAACGCACTTAGCTCCTTCCTCACAGGCATTCAAGCTAATAGGTCGATAAATCATTTTCTAGCATGTATAGATAAATAAAATAAGGCCATTTGCAATACTATGTCAGTTAATTAGTGTTTACCAAAGTCTGCTATTGTTTTACAACTTAACACCGAAACTCTGATAAATTGGGTTGTTGTGATGGGCTAGGCAGATAAGAATTGTGAACTCGGTCACGTGGAAAGATTGATTCCCAGAATAGAACACTGAAAAATACAAAATTCTATGCAAATAAGAACTGACAGGGGAAAGTTACAATGCACTAGTGGTGGCTACTAGCCAGTGTTTACAAGAAACACTGTGTGGCTAACTGGGCTATACATATTTTTGACAGAGTTCTTTTAAAATATGTATGCAAACATCTGTGCCAGTCTTAAAAGGATAAATATCAGGACAGAGATCTTACTTTATACCCTGAAAACGTATTAATTGCTAATTAATAAATGGGGTCAAAGACTAATTCCTAGGAATGGGTTCTCTAGTGGTCTTGTACATCCAGTTCCAACATGTAATGTCAGGTTTCCTACCCGTATATCCGACCCAATGTTGTGTTTCATTGAGATCTTAATGTTCCCATTGTACAGCGCTACGGAATTTGTATAATATGTATAATATATGTATAATAAAATAATAATAATAATGTCAAGCCTCTACAGAGTTAGCTCCTAGAGTGACCCAATACCACCCAATATTTCACCCTAGCCACAGTGTTGCCCATCTGTACCCTCAGGGTCGCCCTCCAGGGCTACTTGCAGAAGTCTGAAGCTGTTGGACTGTCTTGGGGCTTCCTTCTTCTCTTGATTCCCCTGTAGCATCTTATAAACCTCTGAATCTTCATGATGCCAGCTCATCTTGTAGCACTTGTTTTCTTCACAAACCTCTAGGACTGAATAGAAAAATAACTTGTATGACTCTATACGCACAGCACTTTTTTAACACTCTTTTCTTTTCTCCCTGCTGTGTCTGTCTCCAGTGCTCCTAAATCTTGCCCTGTTTGGTAACGCAGTATGATACAATGCAGCTCTCCCTAGTTCTTAACTTTAAACTGTTTGTTCCTCACTGTGGTTGTTTTCCTCCCCCAACTCTCTGCCCTGCTCCCTCCCTGCCCCCAGGCTGTGCATATCACACACAGACTCACATGATGCCAGATGCCCTCTTACCTCCTGCGATGTCCCCTGAGTATCAGGCAGCGATCCCCTGTCTCCTGTTGGAGCCTGGCTGTGTCTCTGGCACCTCTTATGGACTCGTCCTATGTCCCAGCACTCTTTCTCTGGCTTAAGGACACACCTGTCTCTATTTCTGTCCCCTCCTGTCTCTTTCCCCTCCTCTTATAATAGGCACACCTCTCGTTCTCTTGACATTCATCCTTCCACACCCCGTGTCTATCCCTTTTTCATCCCTCCCTTTCTAATGTATATCTGTAATCAACTTGTGTTTGTTTTCTCTCTAGTTGCCTGGGAGATAGTAAGGCACTCCGGAGTTGGGTTTTCCTGTGACAACCACCCCCAGACAGCTCTCTCTCTCCCTCTCTAACTGCTGTCTCCCCTTTGGCCGCCTCTCACATCTGCTTTTAGTTATAGAGCAACCATGTAGAAGAGTAGGAGATTGCCTCGAATAAGTATGAGAGAAAGGAGAAACATTATGAATACATTGCTGGTGACAGTACACGTGAATAAGTTCCTCTTATGTCTCTCTCTATCACTGAGATAGGAATGGAAATATTTTTTGTGATAAATACTAGGCTCTGAAGGTAACAACAGACACCCTGACGACATAAAGGAAGGCGCAGAATGCATTTTAACAGCCAGATAAATTAAATTCTAATCTTATATTTGTGTAGCTGAGTCTGAGCATAATGAAAGTGGCAATCCAACCTTCCTGTCCAAGGTTGCATATCTCAGTATAATTATATCTGCCACACATGAAATGACCATGTTATTATTTTGACATAATGGGAGTTGTAGTCCACAAATGTTTGGCATGTTCTAACATGATGGGAGATGTTGGGCAAAGGCTGCTTACTCCCTTTTTTCCTTATTGCTGCTGTCTATTACTTAGTCAGCTGTTCCCTGGCTTTGCTGTAACAAGGTCCCTGCACATTCCATATATTAGATTATCATAAATTATCAGATGTAACTCTGTTCAAGGTACTTCTTGTATTACTTTGTTTGTGTATGTGCTCTGCTGCAGGCATAGACATTGCCTTTGTGTGAATGAAGGAAAACTGCAAATGCAATGTTCAAATATGACTGGGCATTAGTACTGGAAAAGGTTTAGCAGCAAAGGGGTGCCTCCCTCACACAATTGCCGTTTCTGCTTTGTGCCTATGGATATTGTAGATCAGGGGTGTTCAAAAGGTAGATACCCAGATGTTTCAAACTACAGCTCCCATGATGCTTTGTCATGGTACAGCGCTATGGAATTTGCTGGTGCTATATAAATAATAAAATAATTCTAAAGGCATGCAATGCATCATGGGAGTTGTAGTTCTACAACATCAAGGGGTATACTTTTTGGGCACCCCTGGTCTAGATCTCACCTATTTACCTGCCTGTTAGCAGTTTAATAAGCTAGTTGGAGAAAAATGGAAAGGAAATAATGTAGTGCATCATAAAACATTCAGAACTTACGTCATGAAACTTAATTTGGAAATGCTGTGTACAAATGTTCAGCATTCCTTCTCATCTACCTCAATAACCTGAGCTGTGCAATTCTTTCTTAAATAGTCACCTGTGTATACACACTTTACACTCCTTATGTTGGGCTGTAACACAGAAGCTGTAATTTCATAGCAAAGCAACTAGATCATACTAAGTGGTCCACAGTGCTCACTTAACCTTTCATACGCCTCTTATAATGAGTGTGAAACATGATAGACCTACCTTTCAATTAGTCTCATTGGGTTTATTCACTTAAACAAGATAGACTGGAAATACTGAATTATTCCAGTTTGACGTGCACACGTTTAAGACCATTGGTCTAAAGACATGTTGTGGAAATAGAGGCCAACTTGTTTTTTAGCATGGATTTAATAAAGCAGCCCATAACCAGGCTGGGCCACCAATACACAGGAAACCAGTGTGTATTAGGCATGAGTGACCTATCATGCCTCACTTACAATCAGTGGCGGCTCTAGACTTTGTGAGGCCTTTGGCGAAATTCAAATACGGGGCCTCCACTAACACCCAAAGTGAAGATAAATAGGGGTTCATTGTGTGTGTATAAGGTGCTGCAGTTATATTGAAGGATGGACTTGCAGCACTGAATACAGAGAGCTAGTCTCTGTATTCATTGTTCAGAGACTTGCAGTGTCGCAGATCCCTGTGCCACTGTGTTGTGAGCTCTCTGACTGAAGTTATGGCATAATTTGCTAACTACATTAATTTGTTATAAACAAATTTAATTAGCAATTTTGCCAATTGCTAAGAATGATAGGGGGGTTGTTACATGGCTGGGGGAGGGATTGGAGGAGGGTGAAAGGATGAGTGTGGCACAGTTGGGGGTTGTATCACAGGTTTGGGGTGAATGTGTCATGTTTAGAGGAGGGGTGTGACAAGATTAAGGGGGGTTAATGTGACAGGGTGAGTGCGGCAGGCTTGTGGGGGAGAGTGTGACAAAGTTTGGGGTGAGTGTGGCACAGTTGGAGGACCGGATTGGAGGGGTATATATGGTAGGGTGAAGGGGGTGAGTGAGACAGTGAGAGATGTAGTCTACAACATCTGGAGAGCCAAAGGGTGTGTAAGGCTGTGAGAGGATGGTGGGGTTGACAGAGGGCAAGGGGGCTGTGACAGGGTGTTAGTGAGGTGACTGAGGGTGTGTGGATAGATGGGCTGTGAGAAGGTAGGGGGGCTGTGAGAGGATAGGGGTGCTGTGACAGGATGTTAGTGAGGTGCCTGTGAGGGTGTGTGTGGGGACAGGGTTTGGGGGGCAGTGACAGCGTGTATGTGGGGTGGAGGGCTGTGAGAAGGTAGGGGGGTTGTGACAGGGTCAGGGCCGGCGCTTCCTATAAGGCGAACTAGGCAGCCGCCTAGGGCGCCATATAGGAGGGGGCGCCCTGCGCCCCCATCGCAGGCCCTTTAAATTCTGCAGCTGCCTGAGCGCTCTCCGCAGTGCCTCACCTCCCCTGCCCTGCTGTAGCGTGGCCGAGCTCCTTTCCGGTCCGCGACCCGGCAGGACTCAGTGTGCACTTCCTGTCAGTCCGGCCGGGTCGCGGGACCGGAAAGGAGCTCGGCCACGCTACAGGGCAGGGGGGTTGAGGTGAGGAGAAGCTGATGG